CTAGATGGGTGGCGACATATTTAGAACATCGGCTAGTGCATGGGGTCTTTTTATGTGCATCCTCGATGCGGAGTGTTTCAGAAATGATATGTACCCCTCCCTTTCTTAGACGTTATTATACTGTTGGCGATTATACTGTTTCTAATGGTCAGCCGAGAATGAGAATCCCCCCCCTCGCGTCCGACACATTCTTGGGTGAGGGGACCTAGTTCTAAGCTTAACCGTGAAAACCTCAAAAGAAAAAAGGCGCGGTTCAGCGACGGGGGGCACTTTCTAACTTCGCTGCCTCAGTACTTCCGGCCTACAAGTCTCACTTTGGTTGAACCTGTGAACTCTTGTGAATCTGGAGCAAGCTCGTCTAGCCACCATGGTAGAACCTGTCAACTCTTGTAAGCTCACGAAATGGCTCTCTAGATGGGTCGAAATGTCGATGGGAAGCAACAAAAGCGCAAAATGCCCCCCTCCGTCACCGAACTGCCCCAGAAAAAAAGATAACGTTCCCAAAGAGCTCACGTTTTCTCGAGTAGTTGACCAGAGTACAGAGTTCGTTTTCTTCTGTTGTTAAAATGTGTCTGAACTTGAGCTGAGGTCATCATCACGTTGAATCGTTTTCTGATTTTTGCCGCAATCTCCTCCCATACCTTCCGACGTTCGTGATTGGTCGTTATCATACGATTCTTGCAGGTACGAATCAGTACTTTTTCGTTTCTCAGCACTGATAGGACGATATAATCAGACACCGCGGGCGGCACAGGTGCAGAACGCCTCAAGTGGACCTGATCATGCAGCATTCTGAACAGATACTTTTTTCAGAAATAGTGTGTTCATGTTACATTAGCCCTGATCGCACGCTCAGAGAGAAGGAATCGCTCGCGCGATCAGAGCGACAGAACTGCGAAGTATGAACGCTCAGCAACAACGAGAAAAAACGCGATAAAGGCGAAATAATGCATAAGAATAAATAGATAAGAATATTTTATGAGAATATGTTGTTTGGGATTTGCTCATTGTATTTGTTATATTCGATTATTGTATCTATAATGTTTACCGAAAAGGTTTTCGAACGAAACAACAACATGAACAAGAATTCTCGACTCAGACAGCTACAGGGTGGATCTGCATTTTATAAACATTTGTCAACATACTTTTCACATCCCAAGGATGAGAGGGGGCGTGGTTTTGCACTTCACTCAAACATGGCATAGCATTTTCGTGGAATATCAGCGTTAGCGACAACCGACATACTTT